TTATCACATTTTTAGCAGCATTTACTGTGATTTTTTTGGTTAACCAATTTCCTTTAAAATTTCAAGAAATAGTTTATGGAATTGGTGTCAAAATGCCAGCATTTAACATCGTTGGAACGTTTTTTGGAATCAGTCAAACTCGACTTCCAACTTCGAGTTTTCCACGAATGATTTTGGTGTTTTTTGTGTGCTTTTGTTTGGTGATTCGGACAGCTTATCAAGGAGTTTCTTATGATATGCTTACAAATGATATAAGACGACCGACAATTACTCAAATTAAGCAACTTTATGAGAATAATTATACGATTTTTACTTACGATTCTGATGTTTTCAAGATGCTTTTAAGAACTATGATTAAAAATGGTGAAAAGTAAGTTGTAGTATTTTTTTTATACAAATAAGGTAAATCATGTTAAAATTTGTGCAATGTTGAAATTTGTGCGCTCACATAAAAAAGAAATCAGCCCAAAAAAGCCATTTAAACCAAAATTTTGTTTGCAGCTCTGTGTAAAACGGTTGTACAAAAATTTCTACATCGTTTTGGAAATTCTCGAAGCTTATAGCAGCTTTAAATTTGAAAAATTTAAAATCCCATACAAAATTTTGATTTTCATATTTTTAAATATTTGGACATAACCAATGCTGCTTGTAATCAAATCACAGTTTTAATATAAAATTTGATAATTGCTTTACTGTATTTAAAAAAATTCAAGTTATAAAAATTATTGTAAGTGCTTTAAAAATTGATTTTAAAATTTCTTGATTGTAATTTTAAAATTTGTGCGAAATTTTTTTACAAATTTTGAAATTTGTGCGCTTTTTGTCGTAGGAAGCAATGGGAATTTTTGTCAACAACAAATATTATTTACGTATGAAATTCATGTTTTTATAGTTTTACGAAGAATAGCATAAATGGAACTACTGAAAGTCAAAAATTGATAACAGCTGATAAAAATGAAAAACGTGGATCATTTAAAATTTTAAATAAAAACATTTTGATTTTCTAATTCTCATCTTTTTATTGTTAAAACTCTATGCTGCATAAAATTTGCAAAAAATGGAGGAATTGCTGATTTAATGGCTGTTCCTTTGACGGTAATAAACTCAACCAGCTCAAACTGAGTTAAATCTTGAATCTTGCATTATTTCTTGAGGAAAAGGTTTGAAACAAATCAGCTTTATGTTCTTAATTTCATTTAAAGTTTATTCAAAGTAGTTCCTCCAGCAAAAATATCAATTTCTGTCCCAAAAATATGTAAATAATATGTTTGTTTACATTTAAGAATTGCAATTATGTCAAAGCTGCTAATAAAAAAACGCACAAATTTCAAAAAATTTCAAAAATCTCTTCCCATAAGCAGCATATCCTTCAAAAAACATTATTAACTGAAAATTCCCACAATTATTGATCTTTTGAGCCCATTAGCAAATTTTCATCATCAGTCATTAGCAAGTTATTTGCAAATCAAATCTTCATGTGCAAAAACACTTAAATTTCAACATGGTTTAACCTACATGACAATTATTTCAAATATTTCAGACTGCATATCGAAGGATTCAGGTCGATTGAGTCGCTAATTAATTCATATTGCAATAACATCACAGACTACTCAAAGAGACTAGCTTACTTTGTTCCACTTGAAGACATTTCTGTATGTGAATTTAAATGTAAAACTTATGGACAAAAACTTGATCAAAGTTTATTTAGTACACAAATTGGGTTTGCAGCTCATCGAAATCATTTTATATTTCATCTTATGCAAAATATAACACAGCGACTGATACCTGCTGGAATTCCACAACATCTAAAGAGAATTTATACTTGGATGCTGTTTAAAGTTCATACCGAAAAGAATGATAAAGATCCTTCTGTGCTTGCTCTTGAAGATCTTGAAATTGGATTTATATTGTGGATGTACTCATGTGCTGTGACATTGATTGCTTTTGTCCTTGAAATTCTAGGAAGTATGGGTTTGAATCAATTAAAATTTCATGTTTTAAGAACTGTTAAACGACTTTTAAATGATTTTAGTTTAAGTTTGAAATTTTAATTGTTCTTAGTGTTTGTATACTGAACTAATTTACTTGCATGCAGCTCATTATTGACTATTGACTTGTGTCTGCTTCTTCTTACGCATGACATTTCTAATTTCTTCATCAACTTGTAAGTTCAAATTTATCATGTAAATATGATCAAAAATATTTTTGACCATTCTAAGTTGATTCTTGAGACATTTAAGAAGCAAAATAAAAATGCTGAGTAAAAAGTTTGGAATTGGAATTATAATTTTAAATATTTTCTTAACTGAAATATTTACAATTCAGTTTTACGATGACTTAGCCTTAGGTCATTCAATAGCTGATGTGGCAATAAAACTTTTCGTCAAGAATAGAATCCGATTTGAGATAATTTTATTAAGTTATAATCAGTGTGAGATTACACAGCTAAGATCAGTTATGAATAATGTTTTGGGTCGATTAAGCATCGAGAACTATCCAGTTGAGATGGTATCAATACATAAAGAAGATTCAATTTGCGATCTTTTTTTAGGATAGTCTGCACTGATTTTGATGAAGAATCTAAAAGATCTACAAACTTTTAATTTGGTTGCAAAACTAACCAATCGATTCCCAAAGAAACTAAGATTCATAGTGTATATAGAAGAACTGATAACTAGAAAAAGTATGGCACTAATCATACCAAAAAACGTCAATTCTGATTTTGGAAATGTTGCTTTATACGAATATTTTCTTATCAGGACAAAGCTTAATTTTCTAGAACTCGCAACACTCGAATGGTTTATGCCTGAGATGTGCAATAAACCACTTGTAGTTATTGAAGACTCATTCAACTTAGTATCAAAGAAATGGAAGTTTAATCTTACAACTGAATTTGAGAAATTCCATAACTTTCATGGATGCGAATTAATAATCGGATCAGATCCCGAATTTGAGGAATATAGCTCAAATGATAAATTTGACGGAGACATTAAAGGAAGTCTCGTCAGTTTCTTTAAAATTATTAGTGTAAAAGGAAATTTTATTCCACGACATCAAATTCTACCACAAAATAAGAGTTATCCTTTGAGCATAAATGCAGATTATGCATCTGATATGGACATTTATGCGGATGTTAAGTCATTGTTGGTACCAACTCATCATGTAACAACAACATTTGACCAAATCGATATGATTTTTAAGGTCACACCGAGTGAAAAGTACACAAATTTTGAGAAAATGACACTGCCTTTTGATGATGCCACTTGGGTCCTTTTGCTAGTAACATTTTTCATAGCATTTTCTGTTATTTTTATGGTCAATCAATTACCTATGAAATTTCAAGAGATCATGTACGGATCTGAAGTAAAAATGCCAGCTTTCAACATCATTGGAACCTTTTTTGGAATCAGTCAAATTCGACTTCCAACTTCAAACTTTCCTCGAATGATTCTTGTGTTCTTTGTGTACTTCTGTTTAGTAATTCGGACAGCTTATCAAGGAGTAGCATATGATATGCTTACAAATGACATAAGGCGACCGATGATAAGACAAATTATTGATCTTCATGCTCGAAACTACACAATTTATACTTTGCACATTAATGAATTGATTCTTTCAATAAGATCGATGATAGATGGTGGAGGAGAGTAAGTAAAGTAATGTAAAGTGTCTTTTTGAGTTTTCTTTTACATCTTTGCACATTTTCAGATTAGACATAATGGTTTTTGATGGAATAAATGCCTTACAATATTCCTATTGTCAACACATAAACAATTCATCTGAAAAAATTGCATACTTTGTTCCACACACAGCAGCAACAGAATATGACTTTGAATGCAAATCTGCAGGTCATCAATTGGATCAAATTCTATACAGCACACACATTGGATATGCAGTCTATCGAAATAACTTCATCTATGATCTTCTGCAGAATGTTACTCAACAGTTGATTCCAGCTGGAATTCCACAACATTTAGCAAAACTTTATCATTGGATAATTTTTAAAACTCATAAAGAAATTGATTACAAAAGTCCATCAGTATTGACAATCGATGATCTTAGAACTGGATTTCAATTGTGGATGGTCGCATGCTGCATAACAATTGTAGTTTTTGTCTATGAAGCAGGAGAAAGAATCATTTCAAATAGACTGAAATTAGTTGTCATTCAAAGTTTAATTAGAAATCTATTTAAATCATTTAAACACTAAGTTTGAAGCTTTATAACTAATGAAGTTTGTCATGTTATAAATTTCCTATAAGTCTGCAATTACTTACTCGTGTTTAATTCTTCTTATGCATTGATGTTCGATATTGACATGGCTATAAATATTTACTTGTAAGTCTGAAAGTGAGCTAAAATTGTCAGGTTAAATAGAAGTCAATATTTGTTCTCATTAGTATCTAAAGCTTCGAACAGAGCATTTGTTGAAACAAACTTTAATGTTTCATAAAAAGTTCAAAGCTTTTCTTTTGTTTCTAAATCTTTGCTTAAGTGAAATATTCACAATTCAGTTCGAAGATGATATTGTCGCAGCTCAATCAATTGTTGATGTGATTAACAAACTTTTTGTAAAGGACAAAATCTGATTTGAGATTATAATCTTCAGTTACGCTGTTGATGACATTACAGAACTTAAATCTGTAGTAAATAATGTTGTGAGCAGTCTTAGCAGGGAGAATCATCCAATCGAAAGATTATCCATACTTAAACAAAATGGATTTTGGAAGTTTAATATAAGTCAGTCGGCACTGGTGATGGTGAAAAATGTCAGGGACTTGAATTTTTTTAATTTGCTTACAACATTAATAAATAGTTTTCCTAAGAAACTGAGATTTATTATATACATCGAGGAATTGAAACCAGAAAACTTTATGAATCTAATCTTACTGACCAAACTTAACGCTGTTTCTGAACATATAGCTCTTTTTGAATATTTTATTATCAGAAAAGATGATATATTTCTTGAACTGTCTTCATTGGAATGGTTTGCACTAAAAATGTGTAATAAGCCAGTAGCTGTTGTTAAGGACACATTTAACTTAGCAACGAGAAAATGGGAATTCAACCTTACTGCTGATTTTGAAAAGTTTCATAATTTCCAAAATTGTGATTTAAAAATCGGATTTGATCCTGAGTTTAGAGAACTTGGTAGGAAAGATGAACTTGATCGAGAAATTAAAGGAATTTTTGTCAGTTTATTCAACATAATTGGTGAAAAAGGAAATTTTATTCCACGTCCTATAATCTTTCAACAAAACGAGAGTTATCCTCTAAGAAGTCATGCAAACTTTGCATCGGGTATAGACATTTATTCGGATGTTAAGTCATTGCTAGTTCCAACTCATCATGTAACAACAACATTTGACCAAATCGATATGATTTTTAAGGTCACACCGAGTGAAAAGTACACAAATTTTGAGAAAATGGCGTTGCCTTTTGATGATGCCACTTGGGTCCTTTTGCTAGTAACATTTTTCATAGCATTTTCTGTGATTTTTATGGTCAATCAATTACCTATGAAATTTCAAGAGATCATGTACGGATCTGAAGTAAAAATGCCAGCTTTCAACATCATTGGAACCTTTTTTGGAATCAGTCAAACTCGACTCCCAACCTCGAATTTTCCTCGAATGATTCTTGCATTTTTTGTGTACTTCTGTTTAGTAATTCGGACAGCTTATCAAGGAGTAGCGTATGATATGCTCACAAATGACATAAGACGACCAAAGATAAGCCAACTCGTAGATCTTTATGCTGGAAACTACACAATTTATACTCTGAATCAAACAAATTTCGTCGTTCCATTGCGAAACATGATTGATGGTAGTAAAAAGTAAAGATGATTAATAAGCATCGTATAAATGTTGATAATTTCTAAATTTTTTCAGAATTCAGATCAAAGTGTTTGACAGCATGACACGTTTTCAAAGATCCTTCTGTCAAAACATAAATGATTCATCCAAAAAGATAGCTTATTTTGTTCCTCACACAGCAGCAACAGAATATGACTTTGAATGCAAATCTGCAGGTCATCAATTGGATCAAATTCTGTACAGTACACACATTGGATATGCGGTTTATCGAAATAACTTCATCTATGATCTTCTGCAGAATGTTACTCAACAGTTGATTCCAGCTGGAATTCCACAACATTTAGCAAAACTTAATCAGTGGATAATCTTTAAATCTCATAAAGAAATTGCTTACAAAAGTCCATCAGTATTGACAATCGATGATCTTAGAACTGGATTTCTATTGTGGATGGTTGCATGCTGTATAACAATTGGTGTTTTTGTGTGTGAGGCAGGTGGAAGAATAATTTTGAATAGACTTAAATTCTTCGTCATTAAAAATTTGATTAGAAATTTTCTTAAGTCCATTAGACACTAAGATGAAGGCTTTGGTTCTTTTGACACGTGCCGACATTTTGATTGAAGATTTTTAGTAAAGATTCAAATGAAACAAGCTATTTATATTAATTATATTAAAAATAGAAAGTTTAACTACTTATTGATAAATTGACACCTGTAAAACAGAACATTTCAGTCACGAGAGCTCTTTTAACACATCCAGTAGTATGAACTTTTATAAATTGATTGTGTTTCATTTATTTTTAAGAATTATCAATTTAAACGGAGTTTTAATGCAGTATGAAGAATATTCTACGACTCAATCATTCATAGATGTAATACATGAACTGTATATAAAGTCACAAATCACATTTGATGTCATTTTTATTGGATATTCGAGCAATGATTTTGAAATCGAGATTGATGACATTTTAAAGTCAATTGAAGAGAAAGTTCTAATTGGCAGCATATATTTTGTTACATATAATAATGTCAAGATCTATAGTCTTAATCAGTCAGCTATTTTGTTCTTTAAATCATATCAAGATTTAAATTTTTTCAATTCCAATGCTCGACTTACAAATCGATATCCAAAGAAATTAGCTTTCTTGATTCACGTGGAAATTTTGACAAGACCAGAATTTTTAGTAAAGCTTACAAATCCAGTTCAATTAGATCCTGATGTTGGGCACATAAGTTTATATCAATATTTCCTAGTTCAAAATTACACAACTATGTATCTTATGACTTTTGAGTGGTTTACACCTCGCCAATGTAATATCCATCAAGGAATTAAAATCGATGAATTCGACATGATTACTCAAAAATGGAAGTGGAACTTAAATTACCAATTTGTAAAATTTAAAAACTTTCACGGATGTCTTTTGGTCACTGGATCTGAAGATGGATTTCAGGACATGGCATACATAGATTCACTAGATTTAAAGACGAAAGGATTTATTGTAGATTACACTAGAATCATAGCTGAAAATGGAAATTTTACAGCTTATCATCGGTTCCTTAAATCAAATTTAAAGTCAGATATCAACTCAGCTAATCAAGGTTTGCTTGTCAATATTTTTCCACAATTTAAGTCAATGACTTTAAATGAGCTTCACTTAACAACAGTGTTTGAGCAAAGTGATATGATATTTTTAATCACACCGTCTGAAAAGTACTCAAATTTTGAGAAAATGGCGATGCCTTTCGACTTATCGACATGGATTCTTTTATTCACTACTTTTTCGATAGCTTTTACAGTAATTTTTATTGTCAATCAAATGTCAAGGAGTATTCAAAATATAGTCTATGGAATCAATGTCAAAATGCCGGCATTTAATATGATTGGAACATTTTTTGGAATAAGTCAATTCAAACTTCCAAAATCGAATTTTTCAAGGATGATTTTGATTAATTTTGTGTACTTCTGTTTAATTATTAGAACAGCTTATCAAGGCGTGTTCTACGACATGTTCACGACTGACATTCGAAAGCCTTCTATAAAGACAATCAAGCAAGTTTATGAGAATAATTTTACAATTGTAGCGCTAGCACTTGATGACTATGTGAGGCCTTTATACACATTTAGTGAGACAAATGTCAGGTAAGGATGTAAAGTTAAGTTAAGCAGTCTGGTGCTTAAAACTGCTCTTAAAACTTTAATGAACTTAAATTTGTTAACATTTTCAGACCTCGAATCATACAATTTAAGACAGACTTCGAAATTATGATTTTTTACTGCCAACAAATTCAAAACTCTTCAGCAAAGCTTGCCTTCTTCCTTCCACACACTGAACTTGATGAACTTTACAGTAAATGCAAGGTTCGAGGTCGAAAACTTCGTCAAAATCTTTACTCAAACTATCTAGCACTTGGAGTACTGCGCAACAACTTTATTTATCATTTAATGCAGGATGTAATTGATCAATTGATTCCATCTGGAATTCCTCAATACTTGATAAAATTTTATGATTGGATCCATAGTAGAGATAAAAGGTTTATATTTGTTAAGATACCAAAGGTTTTAACACTAAAGGATCTTGAGTTTGGATTTCTTTGCTGGGCAGCAGCTTGCAGCACGTCAACAGCGATATTTTTAATTGAAATTGTATACAAATTTTGTTTAAAGTTTGAGGAAAGGGAATGCACTACTTTGGCGGCAGCAGTCAAAAAACGAGAAAGAAAAAGATCTTTAACTTTGGATAATTATCCATTGTCGATGGATGTTATGGAAGTTATTGGAAAATAGAAATAAAACTCTAGCTGTTTTTGACTTGCATGCTCGACAGAGGTTTCAAAGTTCAATGTTTGAGGTATTGATTGCCATATTTGAATATTTCATCGAACAAGACTAAAGAATCAAGATCCGTCAATCCGACATAACACAGATTAGAATTCAAGATTAATTGACATTACCAGAAAGTTCCTTAACAATACAAACTCTATTACTAGTTGAAGTCTACTCGTGAAAGCATACTGATCTCCATGAAGCTGAATTTTTTTATTTTATCATTTTTATTCTTAAAAATTGGACTTTTAAAAGGTTCTGAAGTGCGTAATTCTATGACTCAATCATGCATTGATGTAATCAATAGATTATTAGTACAGACTGGAACTACATTTGATGTAAAATTGTTTGGACTCCGAGTGGATGAAACTTCTATTTCGATTGACAAAATCTTAAAGAATGTTGAGAATAACATGTCAATAGGCAGTATTTATGTAAATTTGGATCAAAAAAGAGTTGATTACGATATTGATCGATCAGCTTTGATGATCTTTAAATCCTTTTCGAACTTAGCAAGCTTTAATATTCGAGCTAGACTTACAAATCGATTTCCAAAGAAATTAGTATTTTTGACTTATGTTGAGCACATGAAGGATCCCTTAGATCTAATAGATTTACCCACCGCAATCAAATTAAGCCCAGATTCTGGCCATATAAGTCTGCATCAATACATTTTGTTCAGATATAACAAAAAAATGCTTCTCTTCACATTTGAGTGGTTCACACCTCAATACTGTAACATTTGTCAAGGTATTGAAGTTGATGGATTTGACTTGATCACTCAAAAATGGATGCGGAACTTGGACTATAATTTCGACAAGTTCAAGAACTTTCATAAATGTCTACTAGTGACTGGAGCAGATCTAAGATTTCATTTATTGGCATTTTTTGATGTGTTTGAACAAAAACTTAAAGGATTTTTGATCGACTATTTGAACGTCTTAGCCGAAAGGGGAAATTTTACTTTTTATTATCAATTCTTAATCTATGAAAATGAAACTGGAGTGGATTTTTTTGATGATAATAATAAAGATAAGAAAATTGTTATTGATCCTTGCTTAAAGAAGCCAGGAATTAAAAACCATCATACAACAACATCATTCTCACAAAATGATTTGATATTTGTGATCACTCCAACTGAATTGTACTCAAACTATGAGAAAATGGCGATGCCTTTCGATACAATAACCTGGAAACTTTTAATTGTGACATTTTTTGTAGCTTTTTTTGTTATTTTCACCGTCAATCGAATGCCAAAAGTATTTCGAGACATTGTTTATGGCATCGGTGTTAAAATGCCAGTCTTTAATATGATTGGAACATTTTTCGGAATCGGTCAAACTCGACTTCCGAACTCGAATTTTCCACGCATAATTCTGATTTTATTTGTGTACTTCTGCTTGATATTTCGCACTGCTTACCAGGGAGTATTTTATGACATGTTCACATCAGATATGAGGAAACCTTACATAACTACTGTTAAGGAGTTGTACGAGAGTGACTATACAATAGTAGCAATTGATTTTCAAGATTATTTCGAACCTTTGTACCAATTTAAAGAATCCAATGTCATGTAAGCTACTTTAGACCTAAAATTGAATATTCAAGTTTTATAATATTAACTTTTTCAGACCTAAAATTCGAAAAATTAGCACTATTTTGGAAGCTGATGATCTTTTTTGCAAACAAATTGAAAATGCATCAGCAAAACTTGCGTTCTATGTCATTAACGATGCTATTAGTCAAATATCACATCGATGCAAAGTTGCAGGACATAAATTGCAACAAAAATACTTTTCAAATTTAGTTTCATTCGCTGTTTTAGAGAACAACTTCTTTTTTCATTTACTCGATGAAGTAACTGAACGTTTAGTTCAATCAGGAATTCCTCAATACTTGAACAAATTTTACGTTTGGATTGAATTTAGGAGATCTAATAATCAACTCGTTAAGACTCCAAAGATACTCGTGCTCGACGACTTAGAATTTGGATTTCTTTTGTGGATTGCATCTTGTGCTGTTACAGCTTTTGTATTCTTACTTGAAATAGTCACGAAAAGGTTAATTAAACTTTGTGAGATGTATGTCGGTGCTTTAGTGTTTTTAAAAGAAATTAGGCACTATCTACAGATTAATCGTCAATAAAGAACAAGTTTCGACCATATTTAATATTTATTAAAACTGTGAGTTCAGGTCAATGACATTGTCTATGCTGTCATGCAATGGCCAGTTACCATGTTGTGCATAGTATCAAGATTACTCATTAAATTTCGAAATTTCGGCTTTATCTTGTTTCATTAAGCATATTGAAAGTTTATCGAACTATTTACTGACATGAGGAGGATTTGAACTAATGAATCATGAATTAACCTGCATACTTTAACCCAGGCAACTTACTAATTACTTAAAAAAGCATTTAATCTTCAAATTTCTTAAAATAACATTTAATTCTTCTCTCTTTTGCTCAACTTACAAGACAAATTTCATCCAAAGTAGTAAAAGAAAATTGTTGCTCCCTGACATGAGCATCAACTTCACATTCCATCTACATCCAACAAACATTTATTGCCATTGTATTACGATTTACATATTTTCTTCCTTCTTTCGATTTTTATTCATTTAACAATGCAAGATATTGTCATGAATGGCATGAATGGAAATACATTTCAATAACAATAAGACGAAATGACTTTCTTTCCTCCTTTCAACTGGCAAAAGTAAGAAAAAAAAATTGTGGTATAAATATTTAATATCATTTTTTATGTTATTTAAAAAAAAGTCTATATTTATATGTATAGGCATATACATGAATGAATAAATGACAGCAAAAGAAATGTCTATGAAATGCGATGTTAAGATGTAATATTAATCAGATTACAGACGAGAGTAATGATTCAGAAAAAAACGAAAGAATGAAGGAAAATGTTGATGATGATGAAGGAATGCTGAGTGTATTCGACAATGGAAAAATATATAATTTTTTTTCAGTTCCTCATTCTCGTTTTTTTTAAATCATTTATTTACAGTGCAAATCGAAAGAGGATGGAAGAAACGGGAGGAATAAAATATTGTGGATTGATGCTGCATAAGTTGCAGATTCAAGCGCATTTTTGAAGGGACGTTAGGGATTGTTATGAAGATGAATTAGACCAACTAGTGGTGGTCAAGGATTGATAAGCATGGGCAAGGTCTTAGTCCAAGACGAAGTTTGTATTGATCCGGACCTCTACCTTCCTTCAAAAAATATCTGTTTATGCCGCTAGCTTGGGTCTACTGTCCAATTAATGAAAATATGGCTTAATAGACATCTTTGAAAGTAAAAAAAGTGCTGACCCCCAAACCAATAACCACTTCCCTATAACATCTTCAACAACCAAGACAAACTGCCTCCAAACCAACAACACATCCAACCATTTCTCTCACAGCATCTTAAATTGTTTAGTGATTGTTAAAGAACAGCCAGAAAAAAAAACATGAAAAATGACTCCGCATGGCTTATTGAAAAGTAATTTAATTTTCTAATTCAATGAAGTTCAAGCAGATCTCGTTCCTTTTACATCTTTTTGTTGTTGTGAAAAGTAATTTGTTTTGAATCAACATTTGAGTCTATTGTTTTGTAATCTCTGATAAGAATATCATTATTATTGCTAATGATAATGGATGTTGTTTGGATGGTACATGCGGAATTATTGTGGTGATGTACTTTTTTTGTGGATCATTTAATGGGAAATGTTTTTTTGTTGATATAATTGTGGAATGTTCAGTATTTTTATGTGGAAATTGGCATCTGGAAGTTTTCAGGGAGTCTCTGGTTTGAATAAAGTCGGCTTTAACAAAATCATCATTTATAGACCTTGAAATTTATCCTGAAAACCTAAGAAAACCCAGAATCAAGCCAGACTTCTCTAAATCACAATCAATACCCAATTCACATATGTCCCTTGTCCTCACATCAATTTATCTTCCAGCAATTTTTTTCACATATTATATTCCACTTCCTCTAATCCTCCTTATAACATCCTATATGATACATTTTTTATAACTTTATTGTGGGCTGTTGATTGTTGAGGTTGAATGGGCAATTGAACAAGGATCATATTAAGGGGATATTGGAAAATTGTATTTTTATTTATGACTTCTCCACCTTACATGTTTCCTGCCTTTCTTTTCTTCTCCTTTTGAAAATAAAAATGTACAACAAGTGCGGTTGAACACAAAAAAAAGAAAGAAATTTTCTTTCACATCGACCACCCTAGATGAAAAGGATATGAATGATTCTATTCACAAATCGACCCTTATTTTTTAAGATTAGAAAGTAAATGTTTTGTGAATATCTCTGTAGCTGTTTTTTATGTTGCATAAAAGGGAAATTTATGAGATATTGATACATGTAGTGGCATTGTTTGATATACAAATATGGATATTTTGCATTGAATTGCTTTACATTTCTTGATTTTTGACATAAATTGTTGAATTCTAGAGATGAGTTGATGTTTCTCATGCTTCTAGGGTTTGACAAGCTATTGGTACTAAACGGCGGACGAATAAGGGTTTGTATCTGCACCTTGAATTGTTTTAGTAACAAAATGACGAAGGCTTTAGAGACTTAACCTAAATTTAGTTTTAAACTCTTACAAAAATTCGAGAATTCCTTCAATTTCTATTAATAAACCTCCAGCTATACTTATCCACATGATTTGTAGCTCCTCGCCATCCCACACATGCGATACAATAAGATATAAAATCAAGGCAGATTAATAAATTTCTCAACCAATTTTGAGGAGGCGTGATAAGAAATATTTTCCGTCCTTAAACTAGCATTATGTTCCAAAGTCACGCACAATAGGTGCCTAATTATATGATCCGATTAAAAATATATATCAATTTTACATGCTCACATTCTTTCCTTAATTAATCTCTTTTCACTAATAAAAGGAGCATTTCCTTGTTGTTATTTGAAA